AATTTGATTTGATTTAATCGGAAGATGAGAACAGCAGAACAAAATAATACGCTAACCTCACACCGAGTACACAGTTCACTATTTTTTCGTTCATCGGTAACTCGTACCCTAGATTTTGAGCCGCATCAACAAATCCTGAGCAATATCCTAAGTTTCTTCAAACGCGACTGACTTTTGTTTGTATGTATGCGATAATGTGTTCTGTTTGCCTTTTATTTTGTTCTGCTGTTCTCATCTTCCGATTAAATCAAATCAAATTAGACCATTTCGCTGCAGTTTGTTGTACACAGTGTTCATTGCCAACTGAAAAACACCTATAACAACAACAGCAACAATAACAACACTGAAGACTGTCCCTGTTGATCGACGGACCAAAATCGTTCACATTATGATAGAAAAGAAAAATGGCAAATGCATTTCGACTTCAAACGTTACACTCCTGAAGTGGTGTGTGNTGTCGGCCCTGCCCCCACCCCCCTGCCCCACACACACACACTCCACCACGAAACCCTCACCTAATTTCGGTGTGTTTGATGTGGTGGGACTGACAAAGTACGATGCAGTTCCTCTTTAGTTCACACAAATCACACGATGTATAACTGGCATGTTTGACTGTATCTGTTTGGCGTGGACCGCGTGGACACACACAAGATCAGATGACCAGGATTGTGAACAATTATTTCTCTCTCTCTCTCGGTCTCACAAACACTCGCTGAACCATCATCATCATCTTTGTTTCAACCAATGTACACTTAGCATTTGTTCTTTTTCTGCCGCTTCCATTCGATCACTAATTCAATCTCTCGTTGTGATTGGTGTTGTGTCCAACGTACGTAGTGCTACTATTAGTGATATTTCCTCAAACTTAATGTGATTCGGACCTCAATGAGAAAAAAAATCCCAAACTGAGCGCAACAATGCCGAGATGCACAAAATATGGAATTTTGAACCGAAAATCGTTCGAATAAATAAATAAAACAAATTGTAACGTACTATTTTGTGTTCAATTTCGTTTATTTTGCTGCTCATGAAATGAGGAGATATGCGACGAGTTGTGAGCAACTCGCGTTGTGACGAATGGGAATGGGGCTCGTGTTGTTCCAGTCTGCCGTGTCGATACGGGAAAAAAGAAGTATTGCTATAACATTTTTAATTGCCTGTCCATTGATAATCAGCTTGATTATCAATTCAGCTAGACTGTGTCATAATCACGATTGCTTGCAAATGCAGACTGATACAAAATACATTCTATTTTATTGATTCGTGCTTGTCGGAGGTTTGTTTTCCTACTAGAGGCACACTCAGCTGCTCATATAAAATAGGAACGTTACATATTGTCATGGAAAACATTTATTTCATTTTATTTTCTGTAGCCTATTCATTTTTCACTTATGGATCGAGTTGGTCATAATGAGGAATCTGGGTTAATTCCGTTTTCCTCCTATATTCCTGGCAAATGTAAATAGGAATAATAACGTTTTTCATTGTCCATGGGAATATTTTACGATTTTTTATTCAACCAGTTTTATTCCCAATAGTCGAATTTTCACAATTGAAAATTCCGTTTGATGTTATTAGTGATGATAATGATCTGGTTTTAGGACACCCAGTTACGAAACGTCCCCTGTCATTACGCATTTTTTCAATTGACGTTTTGGGTAGCTTACTGCTGTTAGGCAGACTGGCATAGTTTAATAATAGTTACCTAAAAAAATTACATGGTTTTACAATTAAATTTGAAAGTTAAATAAAAATGTAATAACTATTAAAAATAGAGGTGTATAAAATCTTACTTCAAATAAAAAATAAACAATCAATCTCAGTCAGGTTGTAGATAAAGTTAAGTTAAGTAGTAGTTAAGTAGTTGTTTTACAGCGTTTTTATCCGAACCGGTTGTCTTTGTACTGAATTTAAGATGTCCTCTGCAGCTTCAAGCCAATCTCGAATGGGATGGAACTCTCGATTTATGTTTGACAAAACTGTATTTTTAACCATCAGTCTGTTCCAAAACTTCCGTTAAATTCTTCATTTTAGATTGATTAAAGACAACGAGAAAGTTAATTCCTTTGCGGGTTTTGAACTAATTCAAGTTTTGTTAGTCTAATTATTTGACTAAACTAGAGACAATAGTCTAATATTGATCATATAGAATACGGTTACTCATGTATACACCGATTAAAACTTTTAGAGATTTTCAGGAGCTAACTACCACTACTATCTTCACTTGCTTGTTAGATGCATGTTGTAAGAATATTTGCGAGAGTTACTGTTTTGGTTGAACGGACAAACGTTCTTTGTTCGGATGTTTTTTAGCTTGCACCACGAAACGTATATATTACTATTTTTACTCACAATGTACCAGAAATCATTGGCACTCAGTAGGATATCTGCCAAACCCTTCACCAGGCACTGAGGAATGTGCAAAAAGATCAACGCCACAAGTGGCCCATCCCATTGCCTCATGTGCAAACCTTGAATTTTCGTTGGCTCGTATAAAACGGGTGAAGAAATCGTTTCTCGGAGGAAACATGTTCCATGCCTCAAGTTGTATTGTTTTCGCAATCACAATTAGTTCCAGAACCCAACCACTTACCGCTATCACGTTTAGTTGGCCCTTGCCAAATTTAGATCGCACGTGACTACCTGTGCAAAAACCAATGTGGGAATACTGGTATTATTCATGAAAACCGCCCGACACTGGGGTGAATGGTCTCGATCGATAAAGAGGAAACGAATGATTTTGTTTTTTGTCCATTTCTACTATAACGCATTTGTAGTTGATCATCAACCTACTGGACAAGATTTTCAGTGTGGGTGGTCTATTCACACAACAATTGCAGACCTACGCAATACAATTATTTCAATTAGGAAATCCTATGGCAGCTGGAACAGCAAAATGTCTAGATAAGATCTTGCCTTTTCAACCAATGCCATTGGCGTACTTAAAGGTATGTTTCATTAGGTTGTTCGTTAGAATTATGGTGAAGAGGCATATTTTATGGTTGGGGGGCAAACGGTATGCACTATTTCCCTTTCATTCCCTCAAAACGCACTGATGTTACCGAATTCAACCGGAGCAACAACATATTCAAATAGCACTCCTTCAATTTCACGCTGTCTCGTATAACGGTTTTCTGTATGCTAGCACATTTCACCACCTAGGATAGGTTTTATGGTAAGATCTGGGTAGGTGAGGGGGGTCAGAAAATTGACAAAATAACTGATGCTGAACACACTGAGCTCAAATACGGACGATGAGCTACTGTCCAAGAACTTCCCACACAAATTATACGGGTGCTATTTTGTTAGAAAACACAAACGGGCTGCAATTGATCAGCTTGCTGTCGCTCAGTAGGCATTAATCAAACAAACTTAGTACAGAGAACCCTTTGGAAAATCCTTGATAAACTTTTATCAAAACCCTACTGATATGCCTACCCAATTCAGTATTGTTTATTTTTCTTTGCTCCTGTCACTTAGGCTGAAATCTGATAAAAAAATACGGAATTATTATGATACATGGCGCACAAGAACTAGATAATCTCAGATGCATATTGGTTAACCACTCCGGCCAACGAGGACACACTCGATGTTTATTGCAATTTGCACTCCTTAACTGACCGGGCGAACCAGCTTTGGATCACACGCCGTGACGGTTAGGAAATTGGATTACTTTTGACCGGAAAAATAACCGTTGACCATTGACCATCGTGTCTTTATGACTAGTGACCTTATAGACTACAATGAGGGAATCCCTTAAATAGTATTGAATTTACTTAAGTGGACAAAGAAGCTATGAAAAGTTTTGCAAAGATGACTCTGCACCGATTGAATACGGGAAATTGGATGTTTTGCGCATACGATGAAGTATATGAGCTACAAAGTTTTCATTTTTCATACTAGAATTTCTAATCAATATATTTTCACTTGGGAAGCGTTTTCTTGTTCAATTTAGAAGAACAATTTACCCGCTATTGTGTTTCTATGACTATTTGGTTAAGTGCAACCCGTTAACCGGTTGTCAATTTGTTGCAGCCGGAGCATTTCTATTCATTCAGTTCGCATTGATTATATTAACTGTCTGATATCTATCTCAAAATGCTGATTAGTCATTCATTGTTTAAACACTCTCGGTAAAGTTTCCAAACCTGAATAGGTACGCGCTTGCGCGCAGCTAGATAGAGATAATAAAGTGATTGCGCACATATTATGAGTAAGAATAGGATATGCTAGATATCCGGAAGCCAGTATCAATTATGACATAAAGTAAGCACCTATATTTCGCTTCCAGCAGACCTCGAATGTAGATAAGTAGGGCGTCTTTACTATTGTTGTGTACACAGTTACGATAATTTGTGGTAATAAGAAATAGGTTATCTGTAGTGTTTCAGGATTAAAATTTGTTACGCTTTCAAATGATATATATATATATATATGGAATGCTCATATAAAGTTTGTTTTCACAAACCAAAACAGACTTATCACTTCTTCTATTTTCAGGACAATAAAAACGCACACCATTGGTGGATAGATTTTAGTCTTTTGTTGACAATGTCAGCATGTCATACAGGCCTACCACTGAAACGATGGGAAAGGAATGTGTCATTCTGGGTGAATTAGCGACAGGAAACATATGCATACGCATATGATCTACGTTAAAGCGTTCACGTCAATAGACAAGAATAGCATTTGAAACGCGTGAACGGCATTGGTGCAGGTTGTGCTGAAAAATCAGCTTCAAGACAGTGACTGCTTTAGCGGACTTTCTTTTGACAATTAAATACGGATAATGATATCTTTCACGTTTCCAACACAAAGGGTTACTTCTAGACAAACTATAAACTATTTCGTGAACAAATGTCCATATGCAAACAAACAATTCATCTATACACACGACTTATGTAAGCCCATGCTCCTCTCCAGCATTCAATTAGGAAGCACATTTCATTTCTTTTTTTTTCACTGAAACGCATTGTTCCTCGGGGTGATATCATGTGAAATTGAAGACTAGAAAGGATTGTTCACATGGTGTAAAACATGTTATTTCTTCAATAAAGGCTTCCTAACTTCTTGTTGGCAAAAGACCACTATTTGTCGTTTTTAATTTTATGCCAAGGATCGGAATAAGTAACCCATTAAAGGAGAGACTGAAAGAGAATCCGGACCAGTCAGGAACATTGATCAATAGCGTATATACTGAGAAGCTTGTCTTATATTTTCTCTCCCATTTGGAATATAGAAGTAAATTACGCCAAAAAATGTTTTATCGAATAAACTCATATATACAATTGTCTCAAACAATTTGGTTTAAGTTATTCCAGAAATAGTTCCAGCAACGGTTTAGGCGATTGATTGCACATCTCCAACGGGGTGATGAAGTAGAGAAAGGTTTTTCACAGCTGTCACTGGTTATAATTTACAAATTGAAATTGAACTTTTCTTTATCGGTATACACAGAAGTTTCTTGAATTCTTTTTCTAGATTGTAACATTGCTGAAATAAAAGCGAAGAATGCTTCATTCTGACGGTATACATTGAGTTCGGGTGATTTTTGTATGATAATTGTAAAAACTTTGTTTGTCTTGAACGTGTAAGAAATGGAACAGGAGGTGGCTGTGTTAACATTTATTTAGCCGACTAACGTGAAAAAACCTCAGATTTCCAACGGTTGATAGCTGTGGCACGTGCAGTGTATTTGTTAAGTATGTGTTACGTAATCTTTCAGCAGTATACCTATTAAATCGTGCAAAATAATCCCAGATGATGACGAAGAGGCTGCCAGGACACTTCCTAAATTCCAGAAAAAACTGCTATGCGTTATAAATTGATAGCGTTTAATAAAGCTTGTCAGATTGTAGCAGGTAAACATGAAACCGCTTTTTGAGGGTCGAGGACATATTACCGCAAGTAACAAGATCATCCATCGTTTAGTAACGGGAAACGTACTTAAAATATCGTTATGGGCTAACATAGTCCCCGTGAGTGCAAAACAACCTTATAGCGGTTTGAAGGAAAACAATTAATTAAATAAGAAAGCCAATGTTAGTGGTTGACGATCGAGTGCGGGAGACGGATAAGAATTGCGCTGAACACAGTTCAAACCAACCAAAGCAGTGAGGAGTCCCGCCATGTATATGGCGACAG